TTGGCACGGATGTGGTGGATGGTCTGGGGGTCCTTCTGGACCTCCTCAACGTCGCCCTCCTCGAAGACATCGTTGTAGGTAACCGCCGTTTGAGCCATGTTGGGCAGTTGTGAATGTGGGAGGGTTTTTGGGGGGAGGGGGGGGGGGGGGGGGAGAAGAGAGTCGACGGAAAGCGAAAGATTGGAGCTTCAGCAGCCGGTAGTATTTGTAGGTAGTGTATGGGGCCGAGCAGCAGCGGGAGAAAGCTGTTGAGGTCTCAGCTGCAAGACAGTTTGCGTCGGCTGTTCGGCTGGCGGGGATGGTTCGGTGGTTTTTGGGACCGAATTGGTTTGGGACTGGTCTAGGTTGGTGGGGGGTCCCGGGTTAGTCCCCAAGCTTTACACCGGTCTACCTAGTACAGGACCAATTCGGGGGTGCTGCTGCGTTTTGACTTTCCTGCCGCCCGTCTTCCAGGTTGCAGATCAAAGGGGAGGGGGAGGAGAGGAGCGTACCAGTTGTTGCGGCGGCTGTAGCTAGGTAAGGTAGCTAGCTAGCTGCTCTGCTGGATGAAAGGAGCTCTCTGCTTCGATGACAGGCGGAGCACAGCTCTTCTCTATTACCTACGCCCGTTCGACCAAGAGAGGCAGGAAAGTGGATGATGGTGGGGAGGAGGCGGGGTGGGAAGGACGGCGGTGGTGGGTGGGTGTGGATATCTGAGTAGTATTGGTATCTGGGGGAAACACAAAACAACGAAGCAGCTGACGGCACCACGAGGATGGGGAGGAAGGAGGACAGGCAGAGGAAGAGAATAGAAGATTAAGGACTGGATGAAGCCAAAGCTCTAGGGAGGAGGGGATTTATGCTATTTGAGAAGTATTTGGACTGGTCATGACCAAAGGCAAAATGTGGGTTGGTAACATAGCACCATCCTTCTTCTTTCCCCCCCCTTCCCCGTGCAACTCGTCCATCCTTGGGTCTCAAGGGTAACGGTCACAGGATGACAGGGCATGAGATTCTTCATCTGAGCATAGAAGGTGGTCCCTCTTCGCTCGCAGTCACACAATTCAGACCAGGCCCGGAGCTGGTGCTGTCGACAGACTGACTGACCGACCTCTCCTCGGAAGGCTTGCTTGCTGTACTGTCGAAGCGGGGCGACCCCTCGTCGTCATGGCCGAGGGACCTTGTCTCTAGCTTGCTAGCGCAATAGTACAAAACATCAGGGCAAGTCGCCCAGGGTCGACTTGTACCTATGTACTTGGGCGTCGAAGAGAGATTCCGCGAGCTGTGCTACGCGACTGTCTTCACTGGTGTAGCTAAGTATCACGTATGAGGTAGGTAAAAGCCAGATGAGGTGGGTGGGGGCACGGGGGAAAGGATGGAGGGGGATGGAGGGGGAGGGGTGAATGTTGGAGGCGGAAGTGGTACCGAGGTACAAGGTACAAGGTACAAGGTACAGGGAAAGGTGACCTCCTCCTACCCCTGTTAAAGTTAGGGAGCTGCCCTGGACTGGAACGGGAGCTTAGGCCACTTTGCGATATACCTGTAGGTAGGTAAGTTGCTGCACCACTCGGCGGCAAGAGAAGGAAATTACCGAGTGGGAAGGAACCAGTCTCTCTCTCAACCTCTCTATCAACTCTCCCCAAAGAATCAAGAAGCGTCCGTCATTCAACACACCAACCAAAACGATCGGTAATACTAACGGTTGGTGTCGGCACTCGGTATTTGACTTTGACACTCACTTGCCTCTCAACCCTCGACAACCGGGCATACCTTGTATGGACATGGCTGATCATACACCTGTCACTGCTAATCTGCCGTTGCGGCAGTCCACCGTCTCGTCGCCAGTCTTGGCATCCATATACTGCACAGCGACCCATACCAAAAAAGTTACCGAAAAAGCGAGAGAGGCATAAACGTTGAAGATCATGGGCGAGGGAGCTGGTCGTCGACCCGCCCAGTCAAGGATCGAGGTAAGAACAACACTCGGGGTGATATCCGCATTTTATTGCGCAGGGTCCTATGCGTGCTCTCGTAACGTCCATGTGAAAGTCATGGATGCAACCTGAGATGCTGATACATCTTGGCTTTGCAATGCCCCGAGAAAGAAACCAGAGAGAGGCCGAGACTGGGGGGGGGGGGGGCTGGGACTTGGGAATAGGAATAGCACCAGGACCGCCCACTCCGACCGAGATCTGTTCCCACGCGCCGCCATACCTACCGTACCGCCGTACCATGGTAAGTCCGTACATGCCTCCACCTCCGCTTTTTTTTTCCTTCTTTTTTTTTCTTACCTTTTCGCTGGGCGCGATGGGGGTCCTCGTTACGTTGAGCGGCGGAACGCTCTGACCCCCCTGACCGCAGCCTGCCTCCTGAGACTGTTGGCGAGCATGCCTAGAAGATCTGCCGTCAACGGAAACAACCTTCCAAGATTCCCAGAGAAACATTGTTATCTTTAGAACATCGTCGTCGTCGTCGTCGTCGTCGCTGCCGTCAAACAACGACAGTACAGTACCACAACGGTCCTAAAATACCCCACGAAGACGGGGGAATGAGACGTGGCGCTTCTCCATCCCATTCCCCCTCTGCCCCAAAACGCTGGACAAAACAGGAGAAGAACAGATCCAACATAAAAATAAAGGTTTTGGCGGCGTTGCAAAACGCCGCTAGACTGAAAGGAATTGACCAACCAGAGTCTGCCGATACGATGCACAACAGCTCTCCTCCGCCTTGACTAACGGTTTCTTGAGCAAACAACCCCCCATCAGATGGGGAAGCTAGGAATTGGTGATCACCATTTGGCGGTTATCAGGGCGCCAGTGCCAATACTTTGAGCCTTTCACGGCTTCCGGCCGCCCGAAATAGACTGTCTGGGAGCGTCCCGAATTGCTACCATTACCGAACCATAGGATAGCGCGGCTTTGCCGCCGCCGCCGCCGCCAGCCCGTGTCGCTTCGGACCTCCGCTTCGCCAATCTTCAGCCGCGCCTCTCGTATGCAATATCAGCTGCTGCACACGTTTATTGCCCCGCGGTCCAGATCATCGCAGAATGCGAGAATGTGGGGTGACTCCCACGGGGCTTCAAATCGTCGTAGTTTACCCCCTTTCAATGTTCCCAAAGCCTTTGCTGAGGGACGCAAGGAGGGGTGACGGAAACCCCCTTCGTCGACCTCGGCTTTCTGCACCTCGGGACATGTTGCAGCGATTTGCCGGCTGCCCTTCTAGAAACTATCAAAGCAGGTAAGCAGGCCACTCCTGGTAGAAGCACACCACTCCCGGGCATCCAGGTTCTTCCCTCATGAACAAAACCACGCATCCCCATATTGCTCGAGCGTTATTTCCGGCCCACCGCCACCGAGGACACTCGGTGAACGCCTACGATGGATAGATCAAGCTGAGTTGGCGTTCACAACGTCTGACTAAGATTGAGCAACGATAGGGAGATGCAACGGAGCAGATGGGTGGGCGATGCGACAAGTTGCACCAAGTCCAAGTCTTGAGTCGTTACACCGCCAAGGTGCCATTCTGCACCTCACTTGTGCTGCGAGTCCATGGGCGACTCGGCCATATTCACCCCCGCAACTTAACCCGCTTCTTGGCCCCTATCTGGCATCAAGACCACGTTTCCCCGGTTTCTCTCTCAATTTGCAGTCCCTCACCACATCGCACCGGCATTCGAGCGGGGTTGGGAGCGATAAACAGGAAGGGAACCCCCAACTGCCATCGAAACCAAACCCACCGTGATGGGTGACTCTCGTTCCAGATCGGGATACTCCGACGTCGGCTTTTTCGGCGTCCGGCGCGCATAGTTATCTACAGTGCATCTCGGCCGGTGGTTGCTGATGGTAATAGAAATTAGCGATGGCCTCATGACACGGGCGACGGCGCGACAATTTTTTTTCATAGTGCCCCCATTTTCAATATGCACCATGCTGCCGCCTTGCTTAATCGGCCACTAGAGCCTGTGTGACTCTTCCTCGGTCGGCGGGTATCGTAGGTTATTTGAGGCTTACGCGGTCCTAGTATCCGCCCTGCACCCCACGATTAACGATTAATGACGCTTGGCTCCAGCACATGCGCGGTCCCATGGAACAAGGATGGATCAGCACTCGGCCGTTCGCCCGGCGAGATCTCAGGTGCCAACGGCGAGGTGAGAGTGGAGTGGGGGGGGGGGGGGGGGGGGGGAAACATTTCATTTGTCGAGTGTTCAAAAAAAACCCCCCACTCGGGAGAGAATTGCTGTCTTTTTCAGGTTGATAGCGAACTACCACAACGATGACTTCAGAACGATGCCATTGCACGTCTGCTGCTCGCGGCACGATCGACATGAGACGGCACGCTATTCCTTGACTCATCAAATTTAGCTCAACCTCCTGTCTCCGGCCCCGACCCTTGAAACAAGACAGGATTCGCCCGAAATAGGAAGGCTCCGCTCCGCTCCGTCGGTGGTTATGTCTGTCACTGAGGATCCAGCAGCACCTTGAGCAATGCCGCCGGTCTAGAACGCTTGACCCTCCCATGCTCTCTCCCACAGCCAAGAACATCTCTTTGACTTTCCACGATTCAGAGTTGTCACACTTGCCAGGTTCCGGAAATAGTTCGCTGTTCTATTATACGATGCTAGGGGCAATATCAAGTGGCCCCCGTCCTTGGAACGTTTCCCTGCCGGGGGGGATCGGGGATCGTTTCCGGAAAGCAACAAAACAACAATGCAAGGTGATGATGGTACAGAAACCTCCTCGCTACCGTCCCGCCGCGGCTGGGCATTGCGACGGTGCGTATGCCATGCTATGCAGCAGACCCGGCGACGGGCATTTCCTCCTGTCACGCCTTAATCACAGCTATGGGACTCGTAACAAAGCCCTGGGCCTCCTCAGCCACAGCCCATCACGACCCTTGGCAATTGTGTTGGTGGCGAGGAACAGTCCCATCCCACGCCAGACCACCACCTGTCCGCCTTATGTCTTCCACACTCAGCCCGATCAGCTTCTTTTCCCTCCCACACCTTGGATGGGAAGATGGACTTATTTGCCGACGGCCTGCTTGACCTTGGACTCAACCTTGGCCTCAATGGCATCGGCCTTCTTCTGGACGCCCTCGAAGGCCGCCTTTGTGGCGGAAGCCTCCTTGCCTCCCCAGTAGTTGTACTGCATGTAACGGTATCCCTGGGTAAGCTGGGCGCCCTCGTTGACAAAGTGGCAGAGGAAGAGAAGGTAGTTCTTGGGCTGGACGGCAAGGGCGTAGCGCATGAAGGTGGCTGAGTAGATGCAGAGGGCACCCGTCATCTGGCCGGAAATCCTATACGAAAAGAAAAAAGGGTCGACGTATCAGCCACATTGGTCTTATCTCGTTCCGAACCCTCACCGCGATGGCGGAGGAAAGGGTAGCATGGACGTACAGATCGGGGGACTTTTGGGTGTCCATGACGGCGGCCAAGGGGATACCGAAGTTCGAAACAGGGCCCCAGAAGTCTATGGTGCGCGGCAGTGGTTAGCCTTGCTGTCGTGGGTGAAAGTATCGCGAGAGGCCGGCACCGGAGCGTCGCATCCGCAAGGGCCGGTGGCATGGGGATGTCGGGCAACACTCTAGCTCCCGAATAGCAGAAATCCGCGGCTAAAAAGTCGACGCGACGTCTATCCAGGGCTCTAGGAGACTCATCGCCTTCGGCGAGAGCTTCAATCGAAGGTCCTCTCTCCCCAAGGATACCGGATAATACCCGCTAGCTCCCGAACGCGGAGCGCGAATGGGATAAAAAAAAAAATCTCGGATGGGGCGGGCGGGCACGTACGAGTAGAGCAGACGTAGTCCGTCACAGGGTTGGACCTGATCTTTGCGTTGATCGCCTTGACAAGAGCAGCCATTTCGAATTGCGGTTTGGAGGAGAAGGTGGGCGGGCAAGGGTGACGGGGTCAATTGGCGAAGGGCGGCGGCGGATTTGGGGAGTTTGTGATTTCGTATTTTGTTGAGAGAGCGACAAGAGAGGTTCGAAGGGGCGACCCAAGCTCTGCCTTGCGGCGCTCCGAAATTTCGCGGACGGACTGTTGCTGGGCTGCTGGGCGCCGCTACAGTGGGCGCCCACGTACGAATATGCCACGGGAATAAAATCGATTGGGTGGGGACGAGATTTTTGTGGGGAAATAAAGGATCGTGATTGGACGAACTGGTCGCAGCTGTTCTCTGGATCACGTGATTATATTCTGTCCAATGGTTGTGGTTGAGTGCGTGTGTGTGTATGTGTTGTGACGACGCTTCGCTCGCAGCGGGGGGATCTCAAGCATTGAGGATGCGACTTTGAATTTCTTACTTGGACCTGCTGTGTACGAGGAAGATGAAAAGGGTTGGATTAGACGGGTGTGTTGGATTTAGGAAGGGTGATGGTTATCCTGACTAATACTGAAATATGACGTTCGGTTCTTGCACGTACGTTAGGTACCTATCATAAGTTTTGCTGGTTCCAGCTTTAGCAGAGTGGTTCGCACCTTCCGAGAAGCTACCGCTCGGCCTCCGGCCCCGACATCTTGTCTTCCCGCCGTCTCCAGCACCGGCACCCTGCCTCTGCGCGCGCTTGAATCCCGCCGTGGACATCTCACTCATGAGAGCAGCCTCCGCTAGAAAAACTTACCGTATAACCATTGTGTCTACACCTCGAACACGTCAGTATTTCTCTACCCAGCAAAATATCTACAGTGTCAGGGATGAGCTGGCATCACTGTTGCTCACATTGTTACAATTGTTACAATTGTATACTATGCTCTTCCATATTATGGTTGTTGGGATAACATTCGGTCGGTTTTCGTACGGATGGACAAAATATGTTTTGGACGTTGCCGTCGCAATAGACGACTGTACGAAGACGTTCCACTCCAATGTTGGCAGGTGACATCATCTGCCTGTCAGAGCTCCTCGTCCTAACTCACCTCGCACCACCACTTAATCCTAACGTCAACTTTCGGGAGCCACTTACATCTTGCAGCTTTACTACACGTTACTCTGCGATTAACCCTTGACGCAATACACTACTTGAGCTCCGTTTTTGCGCTATTTAACCAGACGCCCAGCACACACACCATCCGCTGCTCTCTCTCTCTCTCTCTGTCTCCGCGCACAACCTAGCGATGACATCTGAATCCGATCCGGCCGCAATGTCTGCAGCAACAAAAGATGTTCTTAGCCGCGTGCAGCGGATGATCCCGCCCATGCTCGAGAAGTTCCACAAAGGTAAGCCCGTCCGTCTCTCCGGCCGTCAAGAGGACTAAGGGCGTGTGCGCTTACACTCTCATCATCCTCCCAGGGCAACTGGGCCGCGTCGGCGTCCTCGGCGGCAGCGTTGACTACACCGGAGCGCCCTACTTCTCGGCCATGGCTAGTGCCAGACTCGGCTGCGACATGGTAGGTTCATAAGCCGGCCCCCCACCCTTGAAACATGACCTTGGATACGGAAGTGCTGAGAGAGCGCGCGCGCTCGCACCTAGTCCCACGTCATCTGCACACCCGGTGCCGCCTCGGTGATCAAGACGTACTCGCCCAACCTCATGGTGCACCCCCTCATGCGGCAGACGCCGTCAGACGCGGCGCCCGACGGCTCCCGGAACGCCCACACGGACGCGGGGGCAGTCGCCGGCCCCATCATCGACATGCTCGCCCGCCTGCACGTGCTCGTCATCGGGCCCGGCCTCGGCCGCGACCCGCTGATGCAGGACACCGTGGCGCGGGTGATCCGCGCGGCGCGCGAGCGGTCGCTGCCGCTCGTCCTGGACGCCGACGCGCTGCTCGTGGTCCAGAAGGACCCCGCGCTGGTCCGCGGGTACAGGCTGGCTGTACTGACGCCCAACGTCGTTGAGTTCTCGCGGCTATGCAAGGCGCTGGGCGTCGACGAGGCTGAGGCCAAGGACAGCGCCGCGGCGGGGTCCGGGGGAGGGGAGGAGGCGAAGGAGACGGCCAAGGTGGAGGCGCTCGCCAAGGCGCTGGAGGGCGTGACGGTCGTGCAAAAAGGCGGCAAGGACTTCATCTCGAACGGAAAGGACACGCTAGTCGTCGATCTGGAGGGCGGGCTGAAGCGGAGCGGCGGGCAGGGCGACACGCTCACGGGGTCGATCGCCACGTTCCTGGGATGGAGGAACGCCTATCTCGAGGGCCTGTGGGACACGGGCGACGACAAGATGGCTGAGGACGAGCTGGTCAGGCTGGCCGCTTTTGGCGGCAGTGCCATCACGAGGGTAAGTCTGCCGAGGGTTACATTCTCTTATTCCGTTTTTCATGTTATACGTTTAAAACCCCTTCCCGCCCCCCCCGCCCCCCTTTTTTTTCCCCCTTTTGAGGTGCTGACTGTAAGTCTAGGAGTGCTCCAGACGGGCCTTCCTGAGGAAGGGCCGCAGCTTGCAGGCAAGCGACCTTACGGACGAGGTCCACGGGTCATTTATGGCCTTGTTTGGCGAGGTTGACGGCAAGGCGGGTGCCACCAAGCTGTGAAGTGACAAATGTCAAGCTCGGAACAGGCTGCACATATAAATTGTGAAAATAGGCTGGATTGAATCGGTCGCTATGTCGCCGTGAATCCAAGTACAAAGTCCCTTGACCATCCCTTCCGGATAGATGACGAACCATCCGTTCGAAGAAAGAGCGTGACAGATGACCTGTCCAGCCTGATGAGTACCATGGATCGGGTTCAAATACTCCAATCGTTCGGCGAGATCTTTAAGCGCCAAATCGTAGTAAATCGGGACGCAGGTAGGAATGTGGAAGATGGGAAAGAGAAGGCAAACCGAAGGAGCAGGGTTTTAGCAGGAAAATCAAGGCTCCTTCCCTCCCCTTCCATAAGAAAGGAGCCAGCCGCCGTTCACTTCACCGCTTTTGGCACCTGCCCTGACTGAACATCGTCGCCTGACAAGCAGGCACGCCTAGTTACCTAGGTAGGCAGGCAAAGCATGACTCACAACTTACTTACCTATTTCTGATGCTCCACTATCAAAAGGTCACTGGATGTTTTGCTGCAAAACAAGTCTGTAGACGTTTTGGGGATGTTTCCGGGAAGAATGAATTCGTTTATATGCAGGAAGCCATCGACGACGCTGCCTCGCACCCCCCTTGTCCTTCGTAGGGGCGGCGAGGGCATTTCCTCTCCTTGATTCCGGTGTCTGTGACAGAATCATTCAGTCCGCCGTCAAGGTCTCCATGTGAAGACGTCCTTGACCGAGCTACACTCCCAGGAGGGTCTCAGTCAAGTTCAAGCCGCCGCAAATGACCCACCAGGCGCTCGTCGTCAGACCGTCCTGTGAGGCATCACAGTGATGTTTTGAGGCTGAGTATGAGGAAGAGTCGAATGGACGAGGATGCCGACGTCGTCGTTTGGCCAGGCAATCCCACATCTTGCTTGGTTCCACTCCCTCTCCCTTTGGCTAATCGAACGACATCTTCACATGGGTTACAATCATCAACTCGGCTGGTGGGAATGGTTTTGTTGTTGTAAACTATGGAATAAACTCATGCTGCCATTATATTTTCGCAAATCTAACGAATACAGGTTGGCGAGCTGACCTTTGGTTTGTTCAGGGGTAGAAGAGGCCGACTAACAACATGCCTGTTCTGCCCGAATTTTCGTAATCTTGACATTCATCCCTAAACGCCAATGGTATCCGTGAACCAACCTCCGACTATAAAGCATGCGAGGTATCGACATTTCCGTCCTTAGCCTATCTGCGGGGGGGAGGGTTGAAGCCAGGTGGTCCACCGGGAGGGCCGGGGTTGAAGCCTGGAGGGAGGAAGGGGGCGTTCTGCGGGAAGCCCGGGGGCGGGAGCCCGCCGGGGAAGCCTGGGGGAGGAGCTGCTGGGTGTGAGAATCGCGTTCGGGGGTCAAGGGGATTCGAGAGCATACCTCCACGTCCGCCGAAAGGCGGGGCACCGGGGAAGCCGCCAGGGAATCCGGGAGGGACGGCACCTCCAACACCGGCAGCAGGACCCTACATCCTATGTCAGCAGCTGTATCGCCATGAAGGGGGTTCAGGGGGGCACTGACGGCCAGAGACGGGGGAGCGGGAGCAGCACCGCGACCAGCAGGCCGTGCAACGCCAGGACCGGCGGTGAGCGTCGACGCGATTCCGCCCGGAGCACTCTTTCCGAGTCTCGCACTGGGGTCCGCCGGAGGCTCTGACTCGACTGACAGTGAGACAATGTGCGCGCCACGGACGATCGTCAAGCCGAGGGTTCGCTTCTCCTCCTTCTCGATCGTTTGGCCCGAGGAGGAGCCAGCTCCAGGCGCAGCGGGCTTGTTCTGTCTGACCTTGACGCGTCGGAACTCTTCGGTGTCGGCGAGGACGAGGTTCATATGCTGTAGACACGGTCAGCCCCGTCATTGACACGCGATTGGGGGGGTGAATTAGGTTGCGGACCTTGTCAAAAGCAAGCATCTGTCCCGTCATCTGGCGGCCATCGTTCAACGTAACCCTCATGCGGTAGTTGATCTGCGAAGACATGTTAGCAGAAGCTCGGCACATCCGTCGTTCGTAGCCGTCGGGAGCGCATCGAAGGAGAGCACGTACGTAACCGGCCTAGGGAGAAGTCATATCGTGTCAGCCTATTTTGTCAACCTTGAAGCTTTATGAGGTAGATCCGGGGCTACTCACCATCTTGCCCTGTTTGTTCGACATCTTGGCTGATGTTTGTGAGTAACTACTTCCGTAGCTGCTCTGACTCTTCAAAAAATTATTGCTGTGCTTTTTGTGAAGTCTGGGAGACTCCGGCGAGACCTTGGATACTTTGCGGTAGCAGAGCTTCAGACAAGGTCAGAGTGGGTATACCTCCTTCATGGACAATTTTCCCAGGCGCAAACGCAGCCTCGAGTAGTACGCTGAGGCTAATGCCGGATAAACTACGGGAGTGAGCTGGAGACTCGCCGGTGCACTAGCCATTCTGGTACTAGCGCTTTTCGTCCCCCACCCCCGTGCGGTACGAGGGCTGGCAAACCCTCGAAAAAATACAAGGCTCACGAAATTCGCCAGCGGCATCTTTCACCTTGACAATCCGCGACCATCGACACCCAACGCCTAGCCAGCCGTACCGCCGAAGTACTAACCGCCAAAATGTCGTCCGAGAAGACCCAGAACCCTATGCGCGAGCTTCACATCCAGAAGCTCGTCCTCAACATCTCCGTCGGAGAGTCTGGTGACAGACTTACCCGTGCCGCCAAGGTGTTGGAGCAGCTTTCTGGTCAAACCCCCGTTTACAGTACGGCATCACCAAAAGGAGTCCTTCTCGCAGAAGTCAATTGACTGACCCAACCCTCCAGGCAAGGCCCGCTACACCGTTCGTACCTTCGGTATCCGCCGTAACGAAAAGATCTCCGTCCACGTCACCGTCCGTGGCCCCAAGGTACGACCGAAATGAAGTTGATTTTTTTTTTTGCACGCGGTGTGCGCACAAGGGGGTGGTGTGCTAACTTGACGACACAGGCTGAGGAGATTCTCGAGCGTGGCCTCAAGGTCAAGGAGTACGAGCTCCGCAAGCGCAACTTCTCCGAGACTGGCAACTTCGGCTTTGGTATCTCCGAGCACATCGATCTCGGTATCAAGTACGACCCCTCCATCGGTATCTACGGCATGGACTTCTACGTCTGCATGACCCGCAAGGGTGAGCGTGTCGGTACCCGCCGCCGCTGCAAGGGCCGCATCGGCTCCGGCCACCGCATCAAGCGCGACGAGACCGTCAAGTGGTTCAAGCAGCGCTTCGACGGCATTGTCCGATAAATGCGCAACACCCGCCTGCGATGAACGAAAAAAAGACACTGGGACGGCTTGGGTTAACGGTTGGCGAAAAAAATGGGAAATGGCTTACAAGGCATGTACTTTTCCAGCAGTTGTTATCATCAGACAACACGCTTGACTTGAGCAAAATTCAGTCGAGCCGCGGCCTCAGAGACCGACCGGCGTCATGCCGGCTTACCACAAATTTCACTATCTGCCGTGACTGCACATGATTTCTTATTCTTTTTTTTCACTTTTGTGAGGCAGGTTCGTGTCCTGAGAGCGATCAAACGGCGTTGGTGGTTTAGCTAGTCTAGTTACTTTAGCCCAATCAAGAGCATGTCTTCTTGCACTGATTGCGTTTCTCTTACGCTGTGCGTACTAAGGCGGCGTCCAAACTTACTTCACACGTTTATACCCCCGTATCAGTGTGCGAAGATTAGGAATCATCAAACATATGCTGAAGTGGACTCTGTATAGTCATACTGCGCTCCTTGAACGACCACAGGGAGAACACGACATGAAATAGGGGCAGCCTGAAAAGTACAACGCGACGCCAGCGCGCCAAAGAAACCGCGGCCAGAGCAGACGTCAACTACAGAGCATGGCAACATGCCCGAACTCCCCGGGGCTGCCTCACAAGGACTCTGTGTGACAAACTCAAATGGGAAGACAAAACTGCCAACGAGTACACGGCACCGCCAAAGCTGTCCGGGAACGAGCGATCGCAGCAAGACGATTTGAGTGCAAGGTGTATGACATCGCGCTACAATCAGTCACTGCTCTTAACAGACACCCGGCGTCATATGCCCACGCCAAACATGTTCGACCACAAGCCGGTGGTATCGCCCCCGGCCCGCTAGCCTGGTTTATTCATTCCTCGTAGGATCGAATAAACGAGGAGGGAAACAACGTTAGCCAAGGGGCACATACTTAACAGTTCACCACCACAACCAAGGGAAACAAGAAACGTTACTGCGCAATCTGTGGCATGGCGTTTAACATCAAGGGCCATCTCACGAAGCACGTGTTGAGCTGCGTCCGTCCTACCTCGCGAGGTAGGCTGAGAGGTTGTGGCTTATTATGAATAGCGGATCTTAATCAGCAAAGCTGCCGGGTTGACTTTCATCTAAGCCCCCTAGATCACCTGGTGCAAATACCTATCTAGATTGGACTGATAATAGGATGAGACAGTAAACGTTGTGCTATATGGGCGGTCCCGTCTTCAATCGGGCTACCGCGATGGTCGTCTTCGCATTGACAAGCATGACGGCCTCTATGCCCGGATTGTGGCAATCATCGTGAAGGATAGATACTTGGCGAGCTAAAATTTTACATCGATAATTCGCTTGTCGTAGTGCCCATTGATTCAAGCGCTGGCCAGTGCGACCGTTCGCGGAGTGTCAGGCTGCAGAAGATTCATGTCCATCGCGGCACGGGTGACATGCTCTCTGGCGATGTTGCGTCTCTGGTTCTCCGGTCGATACACGATATCGTCGCAGACTGCCATGTAGTCACGTCGCAGCCGGTCTGTAGTGCCTTCGAACTAGAGGGCTCTCATAACATGTCGTCCCTTCCCCAGAGAAAGACGTCTTGCCCAAAGAACATCAAGCTTGATTTGTTAATCAGACGCATGGAAAAGTAAAGCAAAGTCGCCTCAATGGCAAGGAGTTGTCCTGACAGCGAAAAGTTTAGTATGCCCTGGACCTGATGTCTAGCACAGCAGTCCGGCGTGGTCGGTGGTGTGGTTTTCCTCAAGAGAGTATTTGACTTCTTCTGGACCGTAACCTTCCTACCTATCTCTGGTCTAATGTGAACCTTCGGTTTGCTTTCTGATCCCATCAACAGTCGAGCCATTCGAATGGGATGATATTGAGGGCTCGGACGAAAGTCAACCTAGCAGCTTTATTGTTTGAGATCCGCTATCCGACGTAATCGATACTATAAACCTTCTCAGGGAGGGCTTAACTTCTTTTGGCAGACTTCTCTGCTTCTTGCAGTCACTCAAGCGAGTCGTCACACCTAGGCCTTCGTTTATACCCGAGCCAACGTAGGGTCGTGGCCCTGTCGTCACCTCTTATTATGAGGACAGCGTATACGCCCTAGCTCTTTGTGAAGGCTCAGGCAGCGACCGGACCAAGTCAGGCAATGGGATGGATGGTGGGTGGCTCGAGATCCTTGAGAAGGGAGGAAGAAAGCAGAGTACCTAGTGGTGCAGGTTTCGTTGTACTGCCTTCCTACACTAAGTAGGTATCTGTTTAACAGCACGTGACATGCAGTTATGCATATCTTTTCTAAACTCGGCTATGACTCTACACTATCAACGGTGCAGGCTGTCTGGAAAAGCTGCCAAAACTGCGACTCGGATTTTAGTTTCCGCCGAGGCAGTCAGTCTCGGTTGTCCCAGCAGGCTTGAGACTGCAAAGGGCACTGTGTGCACTAAACTTTGTCTACTTCTGTCATTCATTTGGGAGGCTAGGAATAGCATGGTGAGAGCTTTGCAACGAAAAGGCCGGGGAAGGGGAGTCAAGGGAACGCCGGGAAGCTAAGGCCAAAGACAATAGCTCATGCATGCAGATTTGTAAGATGAATGCCTGCATGCCGAATTGAAGCCATCATGACAGAGAGGACTACAAACAATGGGGCGATGGGGAGAGGGATAAGTGTCTACCGATCTGCACCGATGCGCGATGTGTTGTGTCGCCTGGTCGCGAAACTCAATGCCCCTGGGCGGAAAGCCAGCTTGGCACAATTTTTTTTTTCCCACCTGTTGAGATTAGATGCATTCAGCAGAACCCGACATACCTTGGTAGATAGGTATGCCATAGACCTATACCCTGTATTATGTAATAATACAGCATTTCCCGGGGTTACGGGTGCACGTATCCGTCATTGCGGTGTCGGAAATTGTTAGGGAGATGTCGGGTTGGACTGAGGCAAAAGTCGACGGCCCGTCGTGATTGGTCCGGCAGCACAGCTTCGGGTCCACCGCTTCTTCGCTCTCTTTTCCCTCCACTGGCCTTCTTCCAAAAAAGACTCGATTTGCACTCCTTCAAAGGCACCTTCATCAACCCCAATCTCCCCTCCACTCAATTGCATCTATTGCAATTGATTCCCCCTCGATCTAGACAGTGTCCAAGATCCTTTAATATGTTCCGCAACGCCCTCCGACAGTCGACGCGCGCCGTCGGCGCCGTCTCTGCTGCCGGCAGAGTCGCTGCCGTAAGTCAACCTCAACCTTCCGTCAATCTCCCCATCCCCGATCCGACGTCAATTCCATCCAAAAACATCGGCACCCGCTTCCGCGGTATTCAATTAGGCCCCTCCAGCTTTTTTGGCCTCACGGAACCTGCGTTGGGGTCGTGGAATAGCTTTTCATCGAGCTCCCTGCGTTGCTGTTTTTGGGGGGAGCCGCCCATAACATTTTCGGCCTTCGGCTAACCTGGTTTTTCCACCCTCAGATCCGAAATGCCGCACCTGCCGTCTACAGCGCCACGTCGATCCAGACTCGCTCATACGCCGACGCCAAGGCATCCCCGACCGAGGTTTCTTCCATCCTCGAGCAGAGGATTCGTGGTGTCCAGGAGGAGGCTGGTCTCGCCGAGACCGGCCGCGTCCTTTCCGTCGGGTACGTTTAGGCGGCACATCTCGGCATCGCGAGCGCCCATTGGAGAAGCTTCAAAGCATCATCAGCTTGCATGGGGGACTCGCATGACGTCTCATTGGCAATGGGAACAAGTTTTGCTGACGACGGTTCGACAACAGTGATGGTATCGCCCGTGTTCACGGTATGGCCAACGTCCAGGCTGAGGAGCTCGTCGAGTACGTTACGCGCGCCCTTTATCCGTCCGCCTCTAAATTGTATCGCATCTAACTATCAAACCTACAGGTTCGCCTCCGGTGTCAAGGGCATGTGCATGAACCTCGAGGCCGGCCAGGTCGGTGTCGTGCTTTTCGGTTCTGACCGTTTGGTCAGGGAGGGTGAGACCGTCAAGCGTACCGGAGAGATTGTAGGTTTCCACGACCCGCATCGGTGGTCGTCAACGCCGGCTAACAACCCCCACAGGTCGACGTTCCCGTCGGTCCCGAGCTGCTCGGTCGTGTCATCGACGCCCTCGGTAACCCCATTGACGGCAAGGGCCCCATCAACGCCAAGGAGAAGCGCCGTGCCCAGCTCAAGGCCCCCGGCATTCTGCCTCGCCAGTCCGTCAGACAGCCCGTCCAGACCGGTCTGAAGTCCGTCGACGCCATGGTTCCCGTCGGCCGTGGTCAGCGTGAGTTGATCATTGGTGACCGTCAGACCGGAAAGACTGCCGTCGCCCTCGACGCCATCCTCAACCAGAAGCGTTGGAACTCTGGCAACGACGAGACCAAGAAGCTCTACTGCGTCTACGTCGCCGTCGGCCAGAAGCGTTCCACCGTCGCCCAGCTCGTCAAGACCCTCGAGGAGAACGACGCCATGAAGTACTCCATTGTCGTCGCCGCCACCGCCTCCGAGGCCGCTCCCCTCCAGTACATCGCTCCCTTCACCGGTGGTAAGTAACACTTCCCACGATCGCCTACAACTATCCACAGCTTTGCCGTGTCCTCCCATCTGCCCTTCACACCTTCCTGCCCATCCCGCCCATGTTGTCCAATGTTCTGTTCAAGGAACATTCGGATATTTCATCCCACACCTGGTCCGACAACATCAGATCATTACCTACAACAATTTGCTAACTTACTTCTTGCCTCCATCGGGGAATGGTTCCGTGATAACGGAAAGCACTCTTTGATCATCTACGACGATCTGTCGAAGCAGGCCGTCGCTTACCGTCAGATGTCTCTGCTGCTTCGCCGCCCCCCCGGTCGTGAGGCCTACCCCGGTGACGTTTTCTACCTCCACTCTCGTCTCCTCGAGCGTGCCGCCAAGATGAACGACAAGCTCGGCGGTGGTTCCATGACTGCCCTGCCCATTATCGAGACCCAGGGTGGTGACGTTTCTGCCTACATTCCCACCAACGTCATTTCCATTACCGATGGCCAGATCTTCTTGGAGGCCGAGCTCTTCTACAAGGGTATCCGCCCCGCCATCAACGTCGGTCTTTCCGTCTCGCGTGTCGGTTCCGCCGCCCAGGTTAAGGCCATGAAGCAAGTCGCCGGTTCCCTGAAGCTCTTCTTGGCCCAGTACCGTGAGGTCGCTGCCTTCGCCCAGTTCGGTTCCGACTTGGACGCCTCCACCAAGCAGACCCTCAGCAGAGGTGAACGCGTAAGTTGATTGACATTGCTGGATTTGTGAGCGACAAGTCATGCTAACAACGTGTACAGTTGACCGAGCTCCTCAAGCAGAAGCAGTACTCCCCCATGGCCGTCAACGAGATGGTTCCCCTCATCTACGCCGGTGTCAACGGTCACCTCGACAGCGTCCCCGTTGCCAAGATCCTCCAGTGGGAGGCTGACTTCCTCAGCCACCTCCGCACCAACGAGGCTGACGTCATGGCCACCATCGACAAGGAGGGTGCCCTTAGCAAGGACCTCGAGGCCCGCCTCAAGGACATCATCACCACCTTCACCAAGAGCTTCCTGGGTTAAATCTTCAGTCTCACCTGACATAATAAATGGTCCGACTGGGAGTGCTCGGGGTTGATGTAGCTGTCTATACCGAAATTTTTTGTTTTCCTAGAGGCGTGAGGAAATCTCGAGGGTTTTGCGCCGGTCCGAGGGAAGCACCAGGGGACGCGATCTAGGGGAAGGATCCCCAGTCGAACCACTTGTAAAATAGAGCTCAAGACTCAATTAACGCCCTCGATTCCTTTTGTCCTTTCATCAACTGGTTCCTGTACATGCATTGATCCCGTGAAATGTGTTCACTGACCGACGTCGGCGTCTTCTCGGTAGGTCGGAATCGCTGGATAGGTAGGGTTAGAGTTGTAAGGTAGATTCATGTATTGCTATGTATGGGGACTAAACTGCGTAGGTACAGATGTAATCAAGTGTCATGTTCTTTTATTAACTTGACATCTCTTCTTGACGTCCGCTTTTAGGGCACTCCTGTCAGAAGATGAATGAAGGCTCTACTCACGCTCACTTAAACCAAGCACCCCGTTGCTAAAATGCAGCACACCTTCCAAGTTCCTGAAATCCAGACGAGAATACTGATACTTTCATCTCATGTTTTATCCGCTCAACAAACCCACCTCCAGGAAAGAGAAACTGCCCAGACCATGAACCATCATGGGTCTCTAGTGTGACTGTATGATAGCAACGCATCCTCGTCCACATCAGAAGCTTACTAACCACTTTCAAGGGCTCTTTAATTATAAGATGAATTATTACCTTGTGTCTAATGTTGATGGCCTTTCATGCCAAGATTTCAGTGTAAGCAGAAGCAGGCGCCAGAGACTAAGTAATAACTTGTCGGAAAGTGCGAACGAGTTCATATCTGCCTCAGCGTAGAAAGAACACCATCTATAAGAACCGTCAGCAAGAAACTTCATGTCAATACCTACCTCCCACACCTCCACATCATCACCAACTCTCGCTCTTTATACTAGCAATATTCCCTTTGGATACATTTAGTACAATACATTATTACGCCACTTCCTCAGTCAAGTCATTACAACTGGCGTTCAGTCTTTCGGTCTCTTCAATAGCAGAGACTTGCTGATCCGCCGCGCAGTGCTTAATGCCCGACGCCAGAACGAGGCGCAGCGAAAGGAATCCGGGAAGGAAGCAGCCAGAAAGGACACCGCCAAAAATACGCGGGACCAGACAGACGCTGACGGTACCGAGAACAGCCTCGCCAGAACAGGCATAGCAGAAGGATCGTCACAGCCAAACGGCGAAACAGGGGGCGCGAACCAGGCTACACTTGCTACCGGAACAACGGAGGACTCCTCAATAACTACTACTTCTGAGGTGTCCCAGTCAAACGGACGGGCCGAGACGGCAAATGAGAACAGGCCTGCCGACAGTCGGACTTCAATGGGAGGGCATTCGCACATTTGTTGAGCGGACGAAATATGAGATGAAAGTATCAGGATTCTCGTCTCAAAGTCATCTCTTGACAGGAGTGCCCCAGAAGCAGGCGTCAAGAAGAGACGTCAACTGAGTAAAAAAAAACATGACACTTGATTGCCTCGCTACTGTCCCTCTCTAGAACAACATCCTATCTCTCTCTCTCTCCCTCTCTCGCTAGACTTCATCCATTCAAAAACCTTCCTCCACGCCTATTAAACCTAATCACAATATTCCCACCTATTCCTACTTGCGTATTCATATCAGAACATACACTACACACCCCTCTGCACTAGTTGTACTTCTTTGTACCTGACTACAACGATAACCTAAGTCGCGAATTGTGACGAATTCCGCCGACGGAAAAGAGAAGACTGAGACGAGCGCAGCCAAGGCCAATACAGCCACTCTCGACCTGACTACGGCGTCTGCTGAAGACCTGATGACTGGCGACGTCGTCACCGCTACCGACCTGGCCAGTATCACCCAGCCCAGAGGAATATAAGCCACTTTCTAATAGATGCTGGCATGAAACATTGGACAGCTGAAAAATCGATAGCGTTGTTTCCGACAGCTGACAATTGGCTGCCATTGTGGATGAAGCAAAATGGGCCACTGTCGGGCTACTTGTCCGTGGTTCCCGATCACCAACGGATTCTTCTTGAACACCGCGTACTGTGTAAGCTAACAATGGGCTAACGTTAGCTAGCTAGCCAAGGGGCAGGCACTAGATGGAGGGATGCAAGCAAATGTAAGCAACTACATACACGCCATCCCACATCATAACCGGGAGACGCGACCCTTGTTGGGGCGCAAGAACCAGACGAGCGTCGGGGTAGTTGTACGTCTATAAATCGTCCATTCATGCTAGCAGAACCCAACGCTTCGGTAACGCAACTGCCATCCTGATAGGATGGAATCCGAAGCCGATATCCCGGCATTAACGGCTCCCGGCAACTAATAGTCGGGACCCAACCCGCCCTCCCCGCTCCATCAGAAACGCAGGCTTCTCCATTACCTATCACATATTACCTGCGGCAACATGAAGATTTAACCTCATTATTTTAAACTATCTTCTAAACATTACAGACTACATAGCCAAACAGGGCCGCGACACGGACAAACAGCACAGCATGTCACTCTCGACTGAGGAGAACGGATTGCCGGTCGTAGGCCAAAGCCAGCCTACAGGCGACGACGGAGACGACTAACAAGTCTCTACCTGACTACCCTCTGAAACTGACGATCACATCGACAGCAGACAATCAGAGGATGAGGACGAGGACACTGAAGACCAAGAGCCAGAGCGTAAAAAGCCGAAAGCGCGAGACAGAGCCCAAGAGAAAGAAGCGCCAGACCCAACCACGAGAGTAACCTGAACTGGTCAGCGTAACCAAATCGAACTTCAAGCCATCCGATATTTCATCCAATATTTCGCCATGGTCTTTCCCGACAGACAATCTGGCAAGGCTGAGCCACAAACACGTTAAGGCACTATTAAAAGCAGTCACTATCTTCAACCACGATGGCGACGACATTGTCTTTGACCAAAACGAAGAGCTTTACTTCATGGCAAGTCTTTACCAAACGCCTACTTCAAGCCAACTAGGTGGTGACTTCTCATCCTACGCAGCGTGTCGTAAGGTTTCCCTTCCCGCACGGCAATTCACCCAGCTGATAGTAGTCGATCAAGTGCTTAATTTGGCGGGAAGTGTACTGTTCGCCATCGAGGCAGCCAAAAACACAAGTGGATTCCTTTCATCCCCCGATCTTCATATCATCCCCGTTCTTTCCTCCTGCATTGCCAGCCGAGCATACGGACAGGTGGGGGATCATGCGCCTCGGGCAAGCGGGCAGGCTTACCAGCCATCACATGGTCTCGAGGCAGAAACTTTTTCAACGTCTTTGACGCCTTTGTGACGGAATCTGCAGAGGGCCGTCTTGTATGATGCGGTTGGCCTTCGTAGCAAACACAACACTTGGCCTGAAGGCGCGACGATGGTCGACCTCTAGGTCAGAGACGGGCGGACTGGAGAATTAAACGCGGGACGGTACCCGGCGTTGGCCGGCATCGGATTACACACCCATCAGATTACATGCTCATAAGATTATATACTGATTAGATTATATCCTTATTAGATTATATCCTTATTAGATTATATCCTTATTAGATTATATCCTTATTAGATTATATCCTTATTAGATTATATCCTCATCAGTTGTGCTACCAACTGTCAGGGTATGGTGGTGTGTATGTATCTTGATTGATCTGTCTATCCATGTGTTGCCAGTAGTGGCCGCTTGTGTAGCCTGTGGGCTTGCGTAACAGTGTGCCCCCTCCGAGAAAATAGTGACCTCACCATCTACTTTCCATTGAATGTTAATGAAAGTAGTTATCTTGTGGTAGTATTTCGGCATTAAAGTGATGTCGCGGCCTGTCAATCTGGCCTCGATCTCTCGCAGGATGTTAGTCATGATTGTCATGCGTTCCGTCATGCGAGGTTTCCTCCTTTGTGAGGTGAGATGCGTAGTGTTGAAGGTCGCGCTATCCTCCAGTTGCCAGGCGTTGGTTGAGCTGGTCGAGTCGTCACTGGCGCTTACAGGCCGATCCCTTTTAGCCCGGCGCCACGACCGCCGCCTCGGAGCTTTTCTTGCCACCCCCTTCGGTCCGTCGACGTTGGCCTTCAGGGCCCGGCGCTCCCCGCCAGAGGCCGAGCCAACTAGCCGCATCCAAACACATCCAGTTCGTCTTGCCCCTAGGTTGACCCTTCCAGCCCTACCCAATACTATGCAGATAACTATCCGTGTTATAAGTATAATCTCATTGCCCTGGCATGGTAACCCAGCACCGCCCTCCTCCCACTTTCTAAATCCGACGCGCGCGCGGACGTACAGGCCCCCCAAGCCTCTCCCCCCGACCCGCTCAAACTTCGCCAGCGCCGGCGCAATCACGCCTCTCCCGGCCCATGATAGATGGATGACCTGGTAAAGGGCACGGACATGCTCGGAGCCGGGGGGGGTCCCATCCGAGTCCGAAGCACTTGGGGGATAGATCCGTAGTGACCAATGAAAGACACCTGGTGATCGCCCCCGGAAGTCGAGCATTGTGGCTGTAGATCAATCTCACGCCGTTGTACTGAGCCTTTCCTACCCCCTGTCCATGTCGGCCCAACCCCCCCGCCCGTCACGAGTTAGCCACCAACACCAATGGATACGTAAAATGCCTCAGAAAACAAAACAAGACCCCTTCCAGTCCTGCGTCGAAGTCAAAGCACCGCGCCGCCGCCGCCGTTGACTGCTAGCCCCCGGCAGTGTCAATCCAAGTAAAGAAGGCCGGCGCCACCCCGTTCGACGGCCCCTCCAATGTCCAAGCGTGCAGCGAACGAGCGGGGAGACTCGGGGGGAGAGGAGGCCAGGCTGTTCTGTTCCGTGGACGACGGGATAACTACACCAACCAGTGTGTGTCCCTTGGACCTGTTTCGTCCACTGCTGGTTTGCTCGCGCGTAATGCAAGGCACACACACAGACACACGCTGCAACAATGACTGGAAACGGTCAAGGGATAGGGGGGGGGG